CGTGTCTATGTCGATCTTATTTCTCTATACTAGAATGCATCCTCGAACATTTTGATTTGGACTAGTGGGTGTGGCCAAAAATGCAATATTTTTTTTTCCCTTGTACCAAACGTTAAACACCTAACCCCTCGAATCTTAGATACACCCTTTTTTTTTTTGTGCGAGCGCATATGTTCATTGATAATCATTAGAAAGATATGCAGTTATCTAAAATCTATTTTGTCCCGTACCAAAAACTCGAGAAAATATATTTGAAAGAAATGAATTAGATCAAAGAGGAGTTATTCAATCTGAATGCTCAATCTGTATAATACCGCAATATCTTTTTAGTAATAAATCAGTTGCATGATCGAAATGTGCCACGGTTAGTTTTATGATTACTCATATGAATTACATGTAATCAAGCTCAGGGTTGAAGGTTTAAAAGCTCTTAACCTACGAATGACATGGCATGTTTCGCACGCATGCCCCGATGCTAGAAAAACACTTCCTCCTCGGACCCGGAGGGGGGGGGGGGGTTTATATGCAAAATTCATCTATCATTTTGGGTACATTTTACAAATAACGAGGAATCCGGGGTCACGAATCAAATTCCTTAAGTCTCACGCAAGGAATAATGATAGTTGTACACAAATACTTGCGCAGTAGAGAGAGAGAGAGAGGGGCATCGGGAGTTCTTCTTCCTTCAATCGGCTCTCGAAATCTGAGTTTCTCCCCCGTCTCAGGTACTTCCATTCCTCTTCTTCTTCCTCTTCTTCTTCTTCGGCGCCTTCTCCGAACTGGGTCACCGCGCGAAAGTTGAAATTTTTACTGTATCTATCGAGCACGGAGCGAGCTCCCGTCACTTCCGTTGGACCGGGTGCTTTGAATTTGCTCGTGGGTCGCATCCGGCGCGGAGGTTCTGATGGGCTTCTGTGCTGATGTGATGTTTTATCTGCATTTCGCGATTGCCCGCGCCTGCGTATTCGCAGTATCGTCTCGCGTGTGCTTCGGGATTGATTCGATGCTGAAGTGTGTGTTGAGGGTGCTGTTGATTGGCGCTGTGATACGGGTTATGTTAGTGCAGGACCCGTTTTATGCCGTCTTAGTCACGGTGGAGAGGCTCCGATGGCGGGAAAATCGGCGGCGAGACCGAGGAAATTGTCTGTGTACCTTTACATTCCGAACGTAATCGGTGGGTGGTTGTCGCTTTTTGTTGATTTTGATGTTCAGTAAATTTTGATTGCTGGTTTAGATTCTTAAGTCTGAAGTGGTCTATGAGAGCTTGGAAGAATGGACTTTTTAAGTGACTCCCGTTGGTGCAAATGCCAGGTTATATAAGAGTGCTCATGAACTGTGTGGCATTTGCGATATGCTTCTCCAACAAAAGGATATTCTCGGTTCTCTATTTTATAAGGTTGGCCTTCTTGAATTTAAATGTGGTGTTTATGTTTGAAGGCGTAATTAGAACTCAAAAGGTTGGAGTGAATTGACAAGCCTGTTGTTTCAGCTTTGTATGTGATGGCGTGGATGGTTGGTGCGCTCGCAAATTCAACCAAGGTGCTCACTCTTGGAGTTTCCTGCTTTTGATTTTATTATTCCATTATTGCAAATTGAGATATAATGTTTGCTCAATGTAATTTCAAAGTGATAAAGTGGTTGCCATGTTACCTATTAAACTGCTACTCATATTAGGATCTGTCCTTGGAAAGTTTCCTTCGCATTCCATTCCTGGAATGGAGTTCCTGGTCTTGTTTTGAAGTAAAATTGTCTCTTTTAGCCATAAGATTGGATATATGCCTTTTTGCTAATACATTTTGAATAGTCATACTCAGAGCATTTCCTTGCAGTATCAAGATCTCGCTATCTGGATGTCTCTTTATTTTACTCCCTGTTCCCTTTTCATTTATTTGTGCATGTTGAGCGCAGTGTATTTGTTTTCTTTCTTCGTTTCTTTTTTTTTTTGGGGGGGGGGGATATTGCTTGAGGCTTAGTGTGCATGTTCCTGAAACACTTATATCATGATGATCTCACCCTGCCTAAAGTTTTACGTGCTTCAGAAGTTCTTAAAACATTACTTTTATTAGTGCATTCATTTTGTTTGTTAATATACAGTTTCGACTTTTGGAGCTGTTTTGGACATGGTAACCGACAGGTTAATGCTCTTTCCTCCAATGATACGATTTTCTTCTGAGCAACTAATTCATTAATTTTGTCCTATCCTGTCCTTAGAACTGGAAGGTTTGATTAGTTTTCTTCATTTTACTGTATTATGCTGTTTGGCTTGATCATCTTTTTTACTCCAGGATTAGCACTGCTTGTCTGCTGGTAATTCTTTCTCAAGTGTACAGGTAATTGAACCCAAACATCTCGCTGTGAGAAATAAAGAAAAAGCGGATTTTCTTTGTTCTGATTTTCTTTGCTACAAAAGCTATGAGTAACTAATTGGGGAAAGCATCGGGATTGCTGGTGGGATGTTTACGCAGGCCTGGTTTGACTTTCCTGTTATTGCTTGCACTAGATATTGCTAGCCATTGGCTGCAAATGTACAGGTAATTATTCATCTTCTTAATTTGGGCTACCTTGAGATGTCTTATGGTATTGTGCAATGGTTGCTGTTTTTGCCGTTTTCTCATTCTTTGGACTGCAGTACTTTCTTGACAGGAAAAGTTAGTCACAAGGATGTGAAGGACAGCACTAACTGGCTTTTCAAAGCTTACTATGGAAATCGAATGTTTATGGCATTTTGTTGTGTGGCATGTGAGGTACTTGTGATGGGTTTGTGATTTGATTTAGACAAATAATATCTGAATTTCCTGATTTGCTTCTGCAAAATCATGTAGGTGCTTTACATCCTTTTATTCCTTCGTGCGGAGAAAGAAACTGAAGATTTGATAGATGTATGTCCTTGCCTTGTCAGTTGCACTAAACTTTCTTGATGCCATTCTTCTATTTCCAAGCTTTGGTATTTGTTTTTTCAGGTACTTATGACCTCAGCCAGACAAAGTCCATTTCTCTTCGTTTTACTGGCTCTAAGCTTTTTTGGATGGACAATAAAACAAACTGTCAATGTTATACAGGTAGAATGGGATTTCTCCAAATCATTTGCGATTTCCGCAATTGTTTTATGATAAAGTAATGCAACTTCATTCTTGTTTGTTGACTATGCAAGTCATTGTTTTCGGTTCCTCTGTATTTTTGCGACATGCCAGAACTTTATCCTGTGTGTTAATATTTCTGTTTTCTTCTCAAAGTCCAAACAATCCTAGGTAGATTATTTCCTGGAGTTATTACGTTATCCGATTTGTTTGGCTGTTCCTTTCCTTTTTATGGACCTTTGCATGTATACATGGTCCTGGACTAGTGTCTGCATCACAATTCAATTGCACATTACCAGTCTATTTTCATCACCTGACTCTGCAGCTAAGTGGAATTGTCTCTTTAGCAGTCATAAGCCAATTCTACTGGCAGTATATTCTTTTCTTTCCGTTCCTTCTAATCCGGTTGTATTTAAGCTGTGATAGCATGATATGAGAAATTACGCCAATCTTTTTTTTTTTTTTTCATGTAGTTTTGACTAATCTTTGTCGTTTGAAATTCTTGTCCTTTTGTCTGTCCGATGTAGATGAAGACGGCAGCAGACGTTTGTGTGCTTTATGACATCAACAAAAAGCAGGGTTCTTAGTTCTTTTCTCTGCATGATGGGAGCAGCTTTCTAAAGCTTACGCCTGATCCGTGCTCAATTTTGCCCATTAGAGAGCAGACTTGTAACAACCGTTTATCTTGTATGCTTCTGCTTGGCCAAAAAACTTGTATGCTTCAAAAAGCTTCGGAAACAGATTACTCAGTCTTGCATAACACACGCCTTTCTCGTGTAGTCAATAGCCTGCTAATTGCATAATTAGCAACTTGACAATGTCCACTGTTGTGAATACTGAGCTTTGTTTTGGTACAGATTCCTTTCTTTTTGGAAGCATCGGCTGTTACAACTTCCTTTTGGAATGCTCTATATTTTACTGTCCTTCAATTACATACGATTATAACCAGATAGATGTGGTACAGATGTCACAAGTCCCCATACTTATGAGTATAGTCATCCTTTTTAATTGCCTCATTCATATCGCAACTGTGAACTTTCCTGTGTCATGTGTTTCTTTGCTTCTGTCGTCTGGAAAACTCATGAACTTACAATAGTATCAAGACACGAAGCTTTTGAGGGGTTTTTATATTGCGCCTTTTGCATCTTCTCTTTTTAGTAGTTTTTGCTCTAGGGAGCTCAGATTCTGTAGGTCACATCAATAATCAAAGGTTGTGTAATCTTATCCCCTTCTAAACAGTGGAAGGCCCTTCTAGGTGGTTCAGTCAATTTGAACCCTCGTGCATTGGTTCATTGTCTATTGCTTGGTGAGCCTTTTTGACAAAGTTGCCTATAATGGAGACTTGAGTTCAAGTAAAAATGCTCCAACTAGACGTTTTCATATGCCTCCAGAGGTCCCGATAGGAAAGTGAGGGCACACTGATTCAAACCTTCTGCAGGTGCTATTCTTCAGTTGTATCAGACGAGATATGAGATGCAACGTTAGTTTCTGTGAAAGACTAAAACACTTGTAGAAAACTGGGAACTGCTGTTGAATGAAGTGGATGCAAATAGAGAATGTGCAGCAAGAGTTGACTACACCTATGGGTGACAATCCCCACCGCGACAAAGTTATTAAGAGAAATGCTAAGCCCAATCCAACACGGTTAACTTGAAACTGGCTCAAATTAACACTATATAATTATGACACTAAGTTAACGACGTAAATATGAGAACGCCGCATGAACTATCCTCTCAGTGCAGTTTTTTAGCTTGGTTCAAACCGTGGGGTTCGTGCAGAAAATTAGTACGTTACATTTTACATGGTATAAGAGCAACGTCAGAGGCGGAGGATATTGTCTCATGGGAAGCTTGAGTTTGGAAAGACAATGAGTGGCAAGATAGATAGAACACTACAGAGTGTGCTCTTCAATGTCTCTGTACATATAGAATCTGTGCCCGATTAAATTAAATTCGTATTGATTACAATGACACTCGGTAGATTGCATTGCAATCATTTGCTGTTACATGAACCATCTTCAGAGGCAAGGAATAACGATTACAACCAAGCATGTCGACGCACCGAAATAAAGAACATAGATTGGTAAATTTACTTCTATACTGAGATCACAACAATCAAAAGCTAGAATGCCAACTGCTTGTTAAATAATATGATGCCATGATGAATTTCCGCCGAAAACAAATTGAACCTTTCTCAGATATTTCTAGTGCTACAGAAGAAGCTTCTAAGCCCGCGCCACTAAGAGACCGGTGGATCAATACAGGCTGTAACCAAAAAACTGGCTAACGATGATTGCAAGTCCGAGGGCAATCGCAACTAGGGAAGAGGCCCAAGTGAGCTTTTCAGTTATCCTAGGAACCCGTTCCTTTAGTGCCTGACTGCATGAGCCTATAAACACCGTGTAACTTCCCATTGCAAACACCGTCCCGACCAAGAACATAAGTAGAAATGCTGCACCGGCCAAGCGAGAAGGCAAAGCAAGTGCAGGCAAGACCATCATCAACGCGTCAGGTTGTAGACCGTGAACAATCCCTGTGGCAAAAGTAGCAAATCCAATCTTCTTCTTCTTCCCCAACTTCGGGTTTTCGAGTGTTTCATAGAGACTAACATCACACTCCCCATTTTCTAAGGCAACGCAGGGGGTGGGGACTTCTGAAGCCTCCCTAATTCCCATAGCACCAATAACAAGTAGCGTGAAGCCCACAACTCTCGTGCCCCACGTTCTGATTATTTCAATATGCAGCCGATCTTTCAGTAGTAGAAACAACAAGCCGAATAGTACCTGTCCCGCATCATGACCACAGCCCCAAAGGGCTCCAACAGCAGCACTTTCCATGCGGGTTCGACCAATAGAGAGTGGGGCCAGTGCAGCAAGGTGGTCGGGCCCTGATAGAGTGTGCAAGCACCCGGCGAAGAAACCTGTCCAGGCACTACTAAGTAATTCCGTGCGAATAAGTCTCGTCCCAACAGCAGCAGCTGATGCAGGTCCTCCTGTCTTAGCAGCGCTTTGAAAGGTTGCAAAGGCGGGTGATGCGAAGAATGGGTGAATTAAGGCCACAATAAGGGCAGAGAGTAGCACAAAAGTTCCAGCAGTTAATCCCTGAAAAAATGAAACTGATTTTGAGCTTTCTTTCATGCAGATGAGACGATAGAACTTTGAATAGGAAATTGGAAGGAAGTAGTCCAAACAGTCCATAGCAAAGATTTCAGCCCCCTTAAAATTTTATATGAGAACACGACAAAAGGAACGTCATTACTCGGGAGTAGCCTGCAATCAATAAGAAAATATAGTTCCACACAAGTTATTGTGAACATCTTTTCCTCCTGACCAGAAGGTATCATTATAGATAAAACCACGGGCTCTGACAACTAAAAGCAGTCCATTTTAAAGCCAATGTCTGCGATAATCTTAGCTGAAACAACCAGAGCACTCCAAATTAGAAGCTAATGTAGCATTTAGCACCATGTCAGCATCAGAATAAACTTCCTTTTTTGTTCCTTCGGGAACTGAGCAAGCATTGCATGACAGTTGGTACTTTCCACATAATCATATGTTCTTTGCTGGAGTTATGATGTGACTAAAAATAAGCAGGTTTGAGAGGTGTTGAACAACCTGTAGTACTTGCTCAATGTCCTTACAATTCGACCTTGGTTTCCCATAGCAAGTTAAGTTGAAAAACACCAAGTTTCTGGACCTTATTGACAATTTTCATATCACAATGGTTGTGCCGGAGCAGATATCAACAATGTCCAAAATGCTACGGAAAATCATGAAAAACAAGCCTCTGAAGTTGGCCTCATTCCTTTCCTTGTGGCTAGCTCTGAATGCTGGAGCATCTAAGAATCGCTGCTTCGAGCCTAGCTTCCACTTCAAATCTTTTCCACAAATTAGAAGCATCAAATCATCTTATCCAATCGCAAATCTAATTGTAACAAAGGAGTGCGAAAAAAACAAACTTCGAACTACTGCTCAAGGACTTCCTGTTCTACGGCATCATTGCTTCACCTCACTTCCACTGCAAATATCACTCCTCCCTCGCTTCGCATAGCTAATCAACAGCAACCATCATTGCACCCCAAAATTCCTACCAACTGCAAATTCAATTCCATAATAGCTCTTTATTCCAATTGAACAGCTAGGCGTGTGTACACTGTTGAACACTACAATGTAACTATCCATAGCTATGCCCAGAATTCCTTGTAAGAAATAATTTAAAGAACATCTAAACTCTATCCTTCGTAAATCGGATATTACGGCTGTCTTCTTAACGTATAAAACTAGGTTAATTGTCTGGAAATAGTCTCCATGCCATTTTGGAGCTCCTCCAAAATGCCAAGAGAAGACAGAGAGCAAAATCCAAAACATAAGCCGTTTCTTCATTTTCCTAGCAGCTAACGATTCATTCGGACATGAACAGAGGAAGGCTGAATCCGTATCGCAGCTTCCAAAATCAAACAATATTCAGCCCTGAACCTCCCAAAATTGACCATGCTCACGAGAGAGAATCGAACAGGAGAGGCGAACCAAACATTGACTCTCCACCGAAATTCATTACCTTGAGCTTCTGGGAATCTCCAATTGCGGTCGGCGGCGGCTCCTCCGGCGAGCGGATCGACGGGGACGGCGATCCATCCAGGGGTCTCGAGGGAAGGGACGGTGACGGCGGCGACTTCCCAACGTGGCACGAGATGGTGGGGCCCATCAGCCTCCGCGCCGGCGAGGAGAGGCCGAGCCACGGCGGGCCGAGACGGCCGAGCCGGCGGAGCGAGGGGGAAGGGGCGCGGCGGTGGATTCGGGAAGGGAGGGAAGGAGAAGAGGAATAGATGAGCCTCTCCATGGCTATCTATCCCCGTGTTATCTGAATCGGGTTTCAGAGGTAAAGAAGAGACTTTTGCAGATTCCCAGAGAGAGAGAGAGAGAGAGAGAGAGGGAGGGAGAGGGAGAGGAGGTTGAGGATAAAAGGTTTTTAGGGCAGTCAAAGATTTTCTGCTTAATTGGGATTAAAGCATGATTAGTTTTGGCCCTAATCTGGGATTACTGGTCAAAATCACAAGAGATTTTCCCCTTTCTGCGATTCCCTTTCGTTTGGGGTTTTTACGGTGATTATTATTAAAGGTGACGATCGGAGATCTTTTTAAGTGTGTGCATGTGTGTGTTTTTGTGAAGCTTAATTGGTGTTTGGTTGGTTAGGTTTAGTGCTTGGTTGAGTTTGAGACCCAGAAGATTGGATTTGGGGGATTTGAGTTTCAATTTGTCCTGTTTCGACCCGGGAGATGGAATGGTATATGCTCTCAACCAAGGGAAAATGCCAAAATTTGTCTTGACTGACCATAGTGGTCCACCGGTAAATAGATAGTATTGATAAGCATTGTTTAATTTCTCACCGGTGGTTGGGTGCTTAGCATATAGTTGATTAATAAAATAACAATTATTACAAGATACCTCGACCTTTTCGTTCTTTATGATCAAAAATACAATCTGATACGAGTTAGGAATACATAGCGGAGTACCGGATCTAAACAGATTTACGATGAACCACAAATCATATCACGTATTATAGAGACCTCAGCGGCTATATTGATGCGCAGGTTATTAACATGAATGACGGATGCTAATCGTACATCAACGATCTACATCATGTTTAAGTCCTGTCAATCTCATGTAATCTCGTAAGATAATTATGAATATAAAGTAGATTTGGCGGTATAAACTTTCGGAACCATTGTAGAACTTTTCACAGCATATTGCCTTTCCAAACAAGTCGTACCAGCTTGTTCCTTTCGCCATTGGCTCATTGCCGAGTCCCCTTGGGTTAAAGGTTGGCGAGGGAGAAGGATTCCTCCTATTCTTAGCGAATCGCACTTAAAATAAGAGCATGTTGATTGCACGTTTCGACCGGATTTGGTGAAGGAGTTTAGGTCAAGATCGTCACCCCAAGCACATGGTAGGGCTTGTCCATTCACATTGGTCTCTTAGTCTATTGACCCAAAACTTGCGGTCTCAATTGTAGCCACAACACCAAAATTGAGCCTCCCACGTCTCAATTCTCATCAAACCTCTCTTTGAATTTTCCGAGTCTTTCAATAGACAATCATTACTTGAAAGGGAAATCTACGAATTCATCGCGTATAGACTAATTAGGTCAGTGACTGTCGACTGAAAATCATATTTGAATTCACTTTTTTCACGTCTTTCGTTGATCTTCTCCATTTAATCGTGTGTTGATAGGATTTGGATGATTATCTTCCTCGGACTTTTTCCATGAAAAAAAAAAAGGGTTTAAGTCACGAATTTCGAATTTCATTTTTCATTTTTGACGAATTTAGTGATCGTGGGCATTTTCTGGCGAAGCCTTTTTCTTCAACAACTCTTACCAACCCCAACCCTAACCCTCAGGCCAGATCCCCCAAGAGGCACGTGCCCTTCGCGTGCTCGGCCAGCGCAAACACGTGGACCCCTCATGGTGGCTTGTGCCCGACACGTGCCGGAGACGCTCTTCGCGGGGGCCTCGTTCGTTGGGCCTTGCTCGAGAAGAGCAAGCCCGTCTACGAACGATCTGAGCTCCGACGACAAGCCCATACACTGTACGGGCCTTGGCATTGAAAGACCGGCCCATTATTCTTAGGAATATGGGCCGGGCGGACCCGATTGCTTTGAATTCCGGACGGCCCGCTATGCCGAAACTTCCTCGGATTAGGACCGGAGGCATCGGGCAACCGAACACCATCGGGTCGGGCTAAACTTTTCGGGCGCCACTAATCAGACAGTGACCCGATTCCCAGTCCACATGGGTCCTCGATCCACCCGATTTATTACATTAAAAGGGAATAAAGCTCTAGCTCGAAACTTGGGCAATCAAAGATATTCCATCACCCAATCACACGAAACTTTTAGAGGGTCTCCCAAAGGCAAAATTCCTCAATGAAAAGTATAAATACAAGTCGTCAAAACACCCTCATCATGATATAAAGAGCAATGCACAACGATTGTTTAGTTTAAACAGAGCTTGATCTAGGAACTAGAATTATGATCATGGATGGCAATCTCACCGTACCAATGGTTTCCACAAGGACAATTTTGGATCGCAAGAGGAGGATAGATGCGCCCACACGTGTCGCCCTCGCGCGAAGCCACCTCAGCTCCTAATCCCTTGCACGAACGTGAGGACCAAAAGCGCCGACCCTCCCCAACGCCCAAGTAGCCCCCTTCAATTGCATCACACATTCCAGATAAAACATCCATCCAATCACCATCGCCCAAAACAAAACCTGGTTAACGCCGTCAAATCCGAAGACCCCGGGTCAACGGTCTCACCGATCGACGGCCGTGATTCGCGAGCGCCAAAAACGGTGCGTCCCGCCGGATTCGGCCGCGAAACATAAAAACGAGTGGCCTGACGTTTGAATGGCTTTGCTGTCTTTCGCAGTGGGAAGTGAAGAACAGCTGAAGTAGAAGCAGAGAGGCTGGGCATGGCGAAGCCGGTTTCGATCGAAGTGTGGAACCCGAATGGGAAGTACAGGGTGGTCAGCACGAAGCCCATGCCCGGGACCCGGTGGATCAATCTCTTGATCGAGCAGGACTGTCGCGTCGAGGTAGTAGATTGAACCCAGTGGAAAATCTTGTGACCTTCTAGCTCGTTCGTACCATGTAGCGATCATGCCTTTTTCCCATCGTTAACGGGCATTTCTTGTTTTGCGTTCTTGATCAGATATGCACGCAGAAGAAGACCATCTTGTCCGTGGAAGACATCATCGCCCTCATCGGCGATAAGTGCGATGGAGTCATTGGGCAGGTAATTTCTCTGTCTTTCTGTCTGTCTGTCTGTCTGTCTATCCCTTCCTGTCTGGGTCGATTTTGGGGTTATTCGCTTGTTTCCCGTAATTTTCTGAAATGAGTCTGTGGTGTTTGTTTTTGGGTTTTTGCTGTGTCGAAGTTAACGGAGGATTGGGGAGAGACGCTGTTCTCTGCGCTGAGCAGAGCAGGAGGAAAAGCATTTAGTAACATGGCGGTCGGTTACAACAACGTGGATGTCAATGCTGCGAACAAGTACGGTGTTGCTGTTGGAAACACTCCGGTAAGTTTTATGTTGCTCACTTGATTGAGAGACTACTCATCTTCCTTTGTTTTCTTCTTACTTGTCTGGTTGGATGAGGTACTAGTTCAGCAGTGTGTTCATGGCTTGGTGATCACTCGTAGGAAATGGTTATGCATTGTTGTCATCATTCTTGATTTCATCGGATAGCGATTCATGAACTAAGTTGCAAGATGGAGAATGCTGCAATTGGGGTGTACTAATCAATCAGCACACGTTTTTTCGAAGCTAGAATACGAGGATTAGACTGATAAAGCTTGGATCATGGAATTAGAGCATGGTATGAGTACGATTCTCTTGGCATCTACTTGAGGGAACATTCTTAATGTTCCGTGATATGGTGATGGCTGCTACGTCCTGAAATACCCAAAGATATATCAGATCACCAGATTTTACAAACCTTGGCTCTACCTTTACAGGGTTGATTGTTTAGACATACCATAAGAAGGGTAAATGAGATATCTTGAAGTATATGTGATTTAGAGTTCTTCATATAAGCAAAGCACCTTATAGATTGTGAACTCGTCTAAACTATGATCGCCAATTATTGCTTATCAATACAATGTAAGTATTTGTCCACTTCTTGGATAGGGTGTGCTTACAGAGACAACCGCAGAGCTGGCAGCTTCGCTCTCTTTAGCAGCTGCGAGAAGAATCGTTGAGGCAGATGAGTTCATGAGGGCGGGCTTATACGATGGATGGCTCCCTCATCTGTACTATCGCGATCCTCACTTCTCAAAGTTTTAATTATTTACTTACATCCTCACATTTTTCATTTCATGTGGTAGGTTTGTCGGCAATTTGCTTAAGGGGCAGACCGTTGGAGTGATTGGAGCTGGTCGTATCGGATCTGCATATGCAAGAATGATGGTATCCAGCTAATTTAATTCCCTTTATTAGTCCATTTTTCTTCTAAACTCTTAAAATGGATTTGATCTTCCCTTTTCTTTATAGTTAAATAAGAGTTCTTTTCCGAATGTTTCTGTCCCATCACTGAGTTGGTTTTCTGCTTAATCTCATATGACTATAAAGTGATCTTAGCCGCTCGCATATAATACAAGAAGTCGTTTGGATGGGTTTACTTAGCTTGTCGTGATTTTTTCCTTTACAGATCGAAGGATTTAAGATGAACCTCATTTACTATGATCTTTACCAATCAACTCGCCTCGAGAAGTTTGTTACAGGCACGTAGCGAACTAATCTATTGATGCCACTCAAGTTCTATCCGTAGACTCTAATTTTTGCTAACATAATTTGTGGTTTCAGCTTATGGTGAGTTTCTAAAAGCTAAGGGCGAACAACCAGTTACCTGGAGAAGAGCTGCAAGCATGGATGAGGTTCTCCGGGAAGCCGATGTGGTGGGATTTCGTTGCCAAAACTTTACTTCTGGATTACTGTATCAATTTCCATCGATCTACATTGGATCATGAAATTGGATTGTGTTTCTAGATAAGTCTTCACCCAATCCTGGACAAAACCACTTATCATCTCATCAACAAGGAAAGCCTCGCGACCATGAAGAAGGTTACTATAGTTTGTTTATCCCCTTTCTTCTTCTTCTTCTTCTTCTTATAATTTGGTTATGCAAGAATTTAATTTCTTCCCTCATTACAGGAAGCGATTCTTGTGAACTGTAGTAGGGGACCAGTTGTTGATGAAGTAGCACTCGTGGAGCATTTGAAACAGAATCCCATGTTCCGGGTTGGTCTTGATGTCTTTGAGGTAACTAAAATCCCTCCTCGTTCATTCTAAACTCCATCTCTACTCTCTACTATCATCACCACTGATATGCTGATACACTCACTATTCATTCGTAAACATGATCTGGGCAGGATGAGCCTTACATGAAGCCAGGACTTTCGGACATGAAGAATGCCATTGTGGTACCTCACATTGCTTCCGCTTCTAAGGTAATGACTGGTAACGACAAATCTCAGCGCCCATTCTTTTGCAATGACCATCTAAGGCTTTTCCTGGTAATTGTGCAGTGGACTCGTGAAGGCATGGCTACCTTGGCTGCTCTGAACGTCCTGGTACGTAAACTGGTAACACAACCTCGCTATCTGCTTGCTCGACCGCATTTGACTTGATGAATTCACTGAGATGCCGACCAATTCTATGCATTCAGGGAAAGATTAAAGGGTATCCAGTTTGGTCGGATTCAAACCGAGTTGAACCGTTTCTGAATGAGAATGCGCCACCTCCGGCCGCATCTCCAAGCATTGTCAATGCGAAAGCCTTAAGTATGAAGTCGCCCTCTTTGGAACTTAAGTGAAAGGTGATACCTTTTTTAAGTTTAATCTGCTGATAGTCTTGTAAATCGTTGCAGGTTTGCCTGTTTCAAAACTATGAGACTGAAGCTCAATCCTTGACGGCCTTCCCGAGAGAATCATATGATGGACAGGGTACGAGGGTTAATAGTGCTAGGGAATGTCGTTGCATATGAGTCCTCTCTCGCAAGAAGTGCTGATAAGCATATACTCCATTTCTACCGTAATGCAGATGCAAGTTTCTGTCCATTCAAGAGCTTATAAATGCTTTTTTCTGATCCAGTTGATCCTAATATTGAAGTCATGGTTCTATGGGAGTGATGTATGCTTGGCCCTCTGTGATATCTGCACACAACTGAGGCTTGTGACAGACTGATTGGTATTATCATATACAGTCATTCGATCCCATTAGACGGCATTTTTTCCGTTCATGGCACAGGAACTGCATCGTGATGACCGTCCTGACGATATAGATCTTCGCACCTCAAACATTGCTGCGTAAACAATGAACAAGTCCTCAACACGGAGGGTCGAACCCTTCACAAAAACAATGAATCGTTACCCAAAGACCACTCAACTTCTCGAAGTGTGCATATCTTTCTAGGGCATGATGCCAAAGATGAAAGACTTGATTGAGCCAAAAGAAACCACTTCTGAAACTCCGTAAAAAGCAGCGAAACAGAAAAGAAATTTGATGGCGGCTTTGCCCGAGCGCGGTGAGGGACGTTGGACCCTCGCCGGTGGCTGGGAAGCGATGCTATCGCCACCACAGTCTAGCTTATCCTTTCACACCTTCTCTCTATATGTGAATTTTTATTTTCTTATGTTTTTAGTCCATGTTTGGAGTTGTATTTTATTAGTAATTTGTGCTTGAGTCAATGAATAGGTGCTGTCTATACATAATCTTTTTTTTATCTTATATATATATAAAACCTTTTTTCCTTATAATTAAGAGCCGTAACAGAGAAGTATTAAGTATTAACGATACAGAAATCCTCTATTGGATGTTACTTTAGTTTAAGGGTGAATTTGGATAAATCTTTATGTCTTTGCTTTTACTCTCTAAATTATTATTTTTGTGTGCCTAATCCTAACAAATGCGACCAGATTAATCTCTATTTTGAGCGCATTGGAAGACGTTTCTGCGTATAAAACTCTTGATTGATTTTTTTAGAGTTCTGAACGAGTCATCAACAACGCGAGCTCAGACTCTCTCTCTCTCTCTCTCTCAACAACTTTCTCTGCAAGTTCTCTCTCTCAACGACGAAACGAGCCGACCATGTCGTCGTCTTCTTCCTCGTCCTCCTCGCCGCCGTGCCCGAAGAAGATGATCACCCTGAAGAGCTCCGACGGGGAGACCTTCGAGATCGAGGAGATCGCCGCCCTGCAGTCCAAGACCCTCGAGAACATGATCGACGAGAACTGCGCCAGCACCCCGATCCCGTTGCCGAACGTCAAGGGCAAAATCCTGGCCAAGGTGGTGGAGTTCTGCACCAAGCACGCTGAGGCCGGCGCCGACGCCGAGACCCTCCGCGCTTGGGACGCCGAGTTCGTCGGCGTCGAGCACGCCATCGTCTTCGACTACATCCTGGTCCGTGCTCCTATCTCCTCTTCTCGATTTCGATGGTTTTCTTTGGGGGTTGAGTTCCCGCTTCGTATTGGTGATGACGTTTGTTTCGCTGCTCTTTTGGTTTCTGAGGGACGATCGATGCTCAATTTTGGAAAGTTTTGATTTTTATCGTCTGTCTCTAGGGAGCCGGCGAAGTACTGTTCAAATTTGGTGCTAGGACTTGGCAATTGGTGCAGCCTTTGCGTGCTAACCTCTGTGCATCTGATTCTTTTTTCTTGATTATCGTTTGGTTGTCCAAAAGCCTCTCTCTTGTGCATAACATACGATCAGAACTCAAGAGGAGCTGACAATGGGACAATAGTGAAAAGAAAACGATGAGACCCTTCTCTTCTTTTGGTAGATTAGAGGGCCAAACAGCCAAAGGAGATTTCATACCGAGACGTTCTGAACTAACGTAAGAAGATACCAACTTTGTCTCCGGACGAAAGATGAGATACACCTTCAGGGGTTTGCAGAAAGCTTGCAATCCTCTGCTTCAGAGACTATTCTATACTTGGCGAGCGGCGAGCCATTGGGCAGCTCTGTTTGTTTCCTTCTCTGTAAGCAAAGCGAATCTGCATTTGCTGAGGTCATGGATTCATGGCTCCGCTGATGAATTTCGACAAACGAGCATTGCATTTGACGATAATCCTTGTAAAACCCAAACACCGGACATGGGTAAGTCCGAACTGGAGAGCTATAGACCTGCCTGCACGATGATGGAGGAACAGAAAGAAAAATGTATAACCACATCATTTGCTCCCTTTTGAAAACACGCCTTCTGCTCCTGCAAAACCTGGATTGCCTCGTTAAGTGAACTAGTTCTGTTGAACTTACACCTTTAAATTTCAAGTTCTTGATTTATATTAGAACATTAGATTGCCCTGAAGCCCTCTTTGGAACCTTAAGATTTACAGCCCATACAAACAAATGGGATATTGGATCCGGATTCAGCTTTGGATTTAGTCAGGTGAGTTCTCACTTTGGCCTTGTCAATGCCAACGGGTTTCCTTTTCCTCAATTCTGTTAGGTAGGTCCGACATTGCTACTCGCAAATTCAGTTAGGTTGGTCTGATATTACTACAAATCTTGCTTTTATCATCTGCGCAATCCATGAGCTTTGCCTTGCTGGCTGTGCTCGGCCTCGAATAGTTGGTGTTTCTAGTTTAGCGTCAGCTTTGTTTGGAATGGATCTCATTCTATTTGGTAGATGAATCAAGTCAGATCTATTGTTTATTTTTTGCTCTTATCATGTACAAGTATTTACACCCAGATAACTCGACATGAATGGCAAACATAAGGTCCAAGATGTGCTTATTTCCAATCAACCTGCACCTTCCAAAGAGCTTGTAATTGTGATTTACGACGTGAAGGCTAAAGCTTGGTTTTTTATATCTGTGCTCACTCAGTTTTTCCTTGCATCCATTCAGGCAGCAAATTTCCTGGAAATTCCAACCTTGCTGGACTTGGCATGCGAGTCTGTGGCAGAGATGATCAAGGGCAAGACTCCAGATGAGATACGCAAATTTTTCAATATCAATAACGCATTCTCACCGGAAGAGGAAGAAGACGTGCGTAGGCAGAACCAGTGGGCATTCGAATGAAAGCCTCGGCGAATTCCCGTGTCCTTTCTCTTGTGTTTCTAGTGTGAAGGAGTTCCGTTTCTTTTTCCTGCCTTCCTACTGATCAGACATGGGCTTTTGAACTGTTGTTTACTTCGCGCACGGTGGACTCTTATGTGAATTATTCCGACGTAATACAGACGAACATTCAAACGAAAATTTCGCAGATTTAATAGTTAGTAGCGGAGGTTTGATCTTCCAGCATATCCTTTGCATCTTAGTGAGGACTCTGTGAAGTAGAAGAATATGAGTTGCTTAGCCGAAGTAAAGCCAATATGAGTTCCATCAGATTTGATGGTCTGTACTTGTTTTGGGGATATTTAGGGCCCGTTTGGTAACGTGCCAAATAGTGAAAATTTCTGTTCTTTTGTTCCCAGAAAGAGTTTGGGAACAGAACTGCGTTTGGTAAACTTTTTGTTCCTCGGCATATTTTTGCAAAAATTTGTGCCGAGAAACAGTTTTGAAAGAGAAACAAGAAGTAAAAAAAAGTTGCTTCTTGTTTCTCGGCACAATTTTGAGAATCAGTTTTTTTTTCTTCTTTTTCTTTTTTTCATTTCTTATTTTGTGTGTTGTTCCCTGGCCGAGTGGCCACGGCCGCCGGCGGTCGGCGATCGGCCACGCCCCAGGCCGGTGAGGGCGTCACGGCCCTCGCCCGGAGGCGAGGGTCGCCCTCGCGCGAGGGCGAGGGCCGGACCCTCGCCGCCCGGGCGAGGCCGCCTCGCCCAGATCGAGCCAGCCGAGCCTCGCAGTCGGTCGTGACGGCGAGGTCGGCTCGCCCGAGACGGCGAGGCTCGGCCTCGCTCGGATCTGGCGAGGCCGAGCCTCGCCGTCGCGACCCACGGCGAGGTCGGCTTCGCCAGGTGGGTCGCGGACGGCGAGGCTCGGCCTCGCCTAGCTCTAGCGAGGCCGAGCCTCGCCGTCTCGGGCGAGGCCGCCTCGCCCGCGGCGAGGGTCCAGCCTCGCCCTCGCCTCCGCCGGCGAGGTCCGTGACGCCCTCGCCGGCCACGGGGCTGTGGCCGGTCGCGGCGACCGGCCATGGCCAAAGAAGAAAGTAAAAAGAAAAAAAAATTAAACAATTCAAAATATTATTTAAATATTATTTGGGAACAGAAATTTTGTATAGTTACCAAACGCATTTATGTTTTTTTCTACTCTAGGAATAGAAATTTTGGACATTTATCAAACGCCTTCAAATACTTAGAAATTATTTCCGGGCACAGAATAAAAAAAAATCATTTCTGTTCAGAAATAGCGCCCGGGCACGGAATGGTATTCATGCGCACCCTTAGTAGACCTACTAGCAATGTGAAAAATAATCTACTTATCACCGTCTATGTTTGGCACAATTGAAGAACGCGGTTACGAAATTGAATCTAACACTATGTCGCTCATCCAACAGTGACTAGTAGTTTTATACTAACGATCGATCCGATGATAAACTGTTGTTTAACAACATTTTGTCTATAACATTGGTAAAAAGCCTGGAACCAACTGATCATAGCCAAAATTCTTTGTTTGGCGAAAAGGATCGTTCAATACTCTATGTTCCACTATGATCAAACAACATTTTATTTTTATTTTCAGCATTTAAAACGGCCAGCACTTAAATATTTCTAATTAAATTTCCACTACTTAAGTTTCGAGTTTAGCATATGCGCCCTCAGTGACCATAATCTTGGGTGGCATAATCGTGCATTGATTACATTCACGTATCAGGTCAAGCACGCCACATGTGATCTAAACACTGTAACACCTCTAAATTTTGCAACTAGGGATCTCTTGTCTGGGGCACCTCAATTCCTTGGATTATCTCGAATGCCGGATTTGAGTCGGCTACTAAATTGACTCGTACAAATTCTTTCTTAAGAAAAAACATAAAGGAGTCGGCACCAATCAGTTTTAATATGACTTAGGCTGACTGGACACCATAAATACCTAAGCAGCTATAGAGAAATTAAACTACCTAGGTGACTTATGCAAGGTGACTGAATTATGAAACCCTAGTGTTTCAGGTTTGGGGCTCTGGACATGTTGGTAACGGTTGGCATCTATCCCCGCAAAGCCCTTCGAGTAGCCCCTTTTCCGG